AGCAATAAATTACCAGCAGTAAAGAGTGAGCAGCGGTAGGTGCCTCATAATCAACAGACTATTTCATTTTGTTCTATGAATCACGCACGAATGAACCTCATTTTTAACTCGTTAAAAGATTTGTTACGATCAATTGTTTGATGTGTTGAATAGAGAAATCCCAATTGCTGAAGCATTAAGATGTCAGATTGAAGTGCAAAAAGCATTACAAGAACAGCTCGAGGTATTTTTTTTCACGTGAAGATGCTAATCTTCTGTTTAAGCCCTTTTCGGATAGAATTTTTATCGACACCCCACTATTTATTTTTCTCATAGCAGGTTCAAAAGAAACTGCAAATGAGAATAGAGGCTCAAGGGAAGTATTTACAAACAATATTGGAAAAGGCTCAGAGGAGCCTCTCGGTTGATATGAATAACCCCGGTAGTGTTGACACGACGAAAGATCAACTGGTTGATTTCAATTTGGATCTTTCGAATTTCATGAGGAGAAATGGAAAAATTGCAAAGGTGCCCGAGTCGAATTACATGGAAAAGGTAGATGAAATAGAAGATGTGAAGCTTAAGCTTGAAGGACCTTCCACAGATTTTGATTTGAATACCAGAAGTAGTTATGATTTTTTTGGGCCCAATGGATCAGTTTTTGAAGCTAAAATATCAGATTCTTAAATTTGTTTTGCAGTTGAATTTGTTGACATAACATTTGAGTAATTTGCTCTAATTATCTGTTGAACACAAAGTTTGAGGGATATTTAACTACTCTGAAGTCGTGTGTACTCCTTTCTTGTATAAATTTTCACCAGCGCCGCTTTAAGCACTCGAAGTTAAAAAAGAAGGGCAACTGTTCTCGAATCAACAATAACACATTTGACTCAATCAAAAAGCAATTAAAAAACCTCCCTTCCCCCATTTGCCAAGTAAAGCCTTGAAACTTGAAAGCAGGGAGATTCATTGAAAAGGCTGTTGAGTTTAAAAGCCAAACGAAAATGATTATGTTCACAAAAATATTTTCTTTACAAACACACACCTTGC